AAATGGGAGCATGTAACTCGAGCCAGATTTTTCCCTCATATGCAGTTGTTCAGTCGAAAAAACGTCAGACTGAGAATCTACAGGTTCCTGGTTCGACTTCCTGTCAGATCACTCGTATTTCTTCCTTTAGAGGTTAGTAAATCAGTACTAATCTGTGGTAGCCTAACAGGAGACTACGAAATATGATTGCCATATAGGTGTAGACTCCGCCTTTAAAGTACGGTATTTCTGGCTGGTGGCGCAGAAGCGGAGATCAGCACTGCACTACGGGCTTCTTGAAAAGAAAAACGTCACAAATGGCTCACTGTCAAGAGCGTATAATGGATATCGACCGATATTCTAAAGGGCGTAAACTTTTTTCCTCTGCTGCTGCTACCACTATGTTGTTTGAGCCAACAATGTCATGCTGTTCTGCACCCAAGCACCACATGTGTTCCAGCATCATGGAGCCTTGGTACGATTAAATGGTCCTCATACTTCTAGAAGCAAGGGAGCGAAACTAACCTGCCATACAATTGTTATAAATCTTATTAGTCATTATTTACAATCATAAGCCGGCCGTAAACATAATTTTCGTTCATCCTGAAAAAAAATGTCGTAAACTTTTATATTCGCGTACGTTGTTCAACCTGTCCTGAAACCAGCAATAGCTGACCGAGTACTTCAGGTACCTAAGCAATTTTCCGGCATTTTACGAAGTGGATTTGTCAAAGATGGGTGATCAACGACAGTGGTAATTGGTTAAAGTAAAAAGCAGGAAAAGCAACTGAGTTTCCGTCAGCTGACTGACGAGCGGTGAGTGAAGCGAAGAAAATCAGGGTAACGAAGCATGTCAAGCGAAGGGGCTTTAGGAAGCGACGACGAGATTAATGATCAACCACTTACGTTTCCAGCCGTGTTGAAAGTGCCGACATAAACAGAGAGTCTGCGGTCCGGAAAGAAGTTCTCCAGTTCTTCAACGCCAAGCAAACTGCGACCGGCAGGGCCGCAGCTGTCGACCAGATAGTTTCTAAACGCGGGATCGTCACTCACTCATCGCATCGCCGTCATCGTCTCCTGCTCTATTCTCACCTCTGACGTGCTTCAGTAGTTGAGATCTTGGAGAAGTTTGCCACCGAGTGCGAATGAATCATTTGCGTGGAATTCCAACCACGATCATAGTTGCTGACCATGTCGTTGACATGTGAAGAACTAGTTGATTTTAAGCCCATACTCGTCATCCCTCTGTTTCCTTCATCTAAACGTGTCGCAATAGTGTAAGATGTTATTCGCGTCAAGATCCATTATGATATACAGATTAACGCATTGATCTTACTCGCTTTAGACAGAATTTCTTGTGCACTGCTGCTGCATTGACTACGAAGCGAACACGAGGCGGCTGTCTCCAGCGGCTTCCAACTGAAGTTGCCTTGCGAAGAGCTGCTGCTGCTGATGCTGCATTCGGCTTGCGAAGAATTGCTGTAGTCGATAGTCGCCTCTTTCTCGTCCCTCGACGAAAACTGTTTCTGGGAGGTGGTGGCGATGTCGACGTGCGCCGCTCCGTCTTCGGCTCGTGAAGCCGCCATTAACTAACAATGGCTAAACGACCGTAGATCATTTTGCTCTGAATGACTCGAACTAATCTTAAGTCAAATGCCACACAGTTTGACGATGACTTCAGTGACACTGGTAAAAAGAGGACAGGTGTACAAGCATTGAGTTCGACAACTCATAATACGTATGCAATCATGCGTACAAACATACAAGTAAAGCCGCATGCAATTCCTCTTCCATGCGACAACCGGAGACCCAGGGACGAGGTTGCTATAGCAACAACATTAACCAGTCATCAGTAACGAAATGCTTAATCGATTGGTGCGTTCATCGTTGTCCTCAAAACACTTATTTGGTGACTCGTTGTGAAGTGTAAAAACGATGCAGGATTACCAGTTTCGACATGGTTAAAAAACCCACAAGTATGTGAAATGTAGATACGGGTATTAAAGAAGAAAGTTTTTTCATAGCTTGAATAAGTTTACAAGCGAATCTCTTCTTTCAGCATAAACAAATAAGAGAAAAACCATACTCAACTAAATAAGTTCATGACAAAGAAACTATGCAAAAAACAGAAGAGCAAGAACTATCGAAAAGCTGTAATAGTTAACCCACGGAAACTTGAAAGTAGATTAGCTGAATAAGGTCATCAAAAAATTCGGCTGTTCCCTCAACAAGATTAAAAAGAAACATAAAACAATGGAACTGAAGGAAACAAATGTAACTGACAAAAGAATTAAAAATGTCACCTAAGACAAAACGTCACTCTTCATAACGTATCAAAGAAACAACAGCTAGTTTTGTTCAATATTCTAGAATGCCCATGAATTATATGCTAAAATCGATGTCTAAGGCGCGGGTGTTGAAAATGTTTGACTGGGCGAACACCTGGAACACAACGTAACGCCGTCGATTTGATATAACGAATGTAACAGCTTTCGACCAGGTTTACCAACTGGCTACTTGGTTCTAACGCGTAGAAGCATGCTCGTACAATGGTGCCAAGTCGCTATGTTCGACCTTTCAGTGTTTTTCTCCCAACTTTGCCAGCAGACAAATGACAACGCTTTCTAACACAAACGATACATTGCTGGCAGTCGCTTATTCGTCGGCAGTACGCCTGCTTCACAGCTAACCCATAGATCCGATGGCTGTTCCACGCCCGAACCTGCTGATGCGCTTAGACCTTTGATTCTCGAGAGACTTCAATTCAATAGATGTTGCTAATCATTGCTTCAGACACTTAGGGTTCAATTAGGCGGCAGCGACAGGAAACAGGACGCAGTATAGAAAGATTATTATTACACAAAATGGGATCTTCTCTAGACAGGTTTGACCCCTTTGACTTTGCACGCATTTTATGATCGCTACTTAGAGACAATGGTTTTAACGAAGGAGTAAGAACCATGACTGAAATGCTTAAAGCAGCGTTGGCCTCAATGAACAAGGAGGGTTAAATGCTAGGACCGCGTGACGAATTACCGTATTCTCTTCCGGGTACAGGTGACCCCAGTCGATATGGAGATTAAGTAACAGAGGCTGGCCCTGTTAGACAAACCGGTTGAACATACATATTTACTCCAGCCCATCACCTTCTGGTGTTGAAGCAAAACGTGGAAGGTTCTGGCAGAGAGGCCAGTATGGAACCTATAAAAACATGGTATACACAGGTCTGCTTTTGGAGACGAGTATTTACATCAAAGGTGGAGTAATTGATGCTTATCGGTGGCTTATATAAAAGTTTTAAAACGCTGTGAATATAGCGAGCATCACACCCAGCGCTCTAAAAGAGGATGGAGTTCATTTCAAAACTTGTCTAATGTAGAAACAGCCAAGTAACCCTAGACGCGTTGGAGGACAATACAAGACAGAGGCATACCTACAGGTGACGAGGAATATTACCTTTGCCACACATCCGTGTACGTTGCAACCAACCTTCATATTTGGAGGTTGTTCCTCTATCCGCAACCCGAGGAAGCGCCAAATGACCAGCAGCAAGGCATACCTGACGTATGGAATACCGGAACTATATGCGCAAGTAAGTTACCCGTATAAACATGACACACAGCAAAGAATCACTAAAAACAAATGCGGGTCAACAAATAGGTGCATCGGCAACGAAAATTTGTTTGAGGAACTGAATCATTTTTACCAGTCGATTAGACGTCGGATGATAAAGGGCATACATACATACATATATACATGCATACATACATACATACGTACATAAATACACATACATATATTCAGGAACACAAAGCATGTGCGTACTGCAGGTACCTGGACTTTTATTTACCAATAAGACAAATTGCTGCTAAGTTGAGTAAGTGAGCAGGAGGTGAACAATGCGGACATTCCCTCCGTGAATGCCGTAAGATAAACCAGCTAATTGCAAAGCGTTTCACTGTAAACAGAGGTCAAGTCCAAGAAACCTGAGTGCAAGGCTTCCGTCCCATCATTGAGCTTTTTTTTTGCAATATGATACACGAACGTAGTAACTGTATCTAAAGCACCAAAAGCGAACTGACTGCTCAAATGCCACGTGATGAGGAAGGTATATTTTGGTCACCAGAATGAGATGTACCTAACTTTACACGTCCTCATAGCAGATTCCTGCTGAACAGCCCAAAGCAACAATAGCACGGAAACTATTCCGCTATATATTGGTATAAAAGGAGTTAGCCGCTAAGTTAGTACATATCCAATCGTACGAACATATATTTTCAACAGTTCTGCTAAATAATGGACGAAATGCAAAAAACACCATGGGGGCTTGCAAAACAATCAAACTGCCCTTTAAATTCAAGTCGTTTCTGAGCAGTTCGTAGTATGTCCGAAACGCGAAACGAACTAAAAAGCTGCAAACCTCCCGAACAATAACGGTGGTTGAACCAGAGGATGAAAATGTCATTAGAGAGCAATCAGCATTCCTCAACCGACCTTGGGACCGGTTCTGACTTCACTAGGTTCAGGCATCACAGGAAACTGCATGAAACTATGACGTTAACAGACGAGGTACCTAAACGTATCGAATAAATACCTGACCTAAGTCTGAACAGCATTTTTTACCATCTGGAAGCATAACAATCAAATTGAGGCTACAGTACGGGAAAGTATAAATTTAAACAAAATATAAACATTCACATTCATTTACGTAGTTCAAGTGATTTACAATTCTCGAAAACCACAAATGGACGCAAAACTGGAAATGTATTAGAATATTCGGAATAAAAAATTTCGATCGAAGCAATACCCACAACACAAATATTCAAATTTATTTTATTTATTTTCATATACTTTAAAGCATAGAATGCGGTCGTTTACAGAGTTGCGCCAAAATACAGTCAGATGGCTGGCCTACATATGATATCACTGGCAGAGACTTTCTACGCAAGAAAGGATAGTACGCGTAGGTCTTCCTAAAAAGAGATTACTGTAGATATGATGTCAGTTATAACAACCTCTTGCTAACCCATCATTCCGGATGGTAAGTAAGTTAGCTCCGAGTATCCCATAGCCACACCAGCAATGTCAACGTGTGCCCATGAGGAGCATTTCGTGAATTCCTAAAACGTAGTAAAAAACTACCATAACCATGCTTGTAAGAAGCAGTTGCATACGCTGTGTTGCGTGCCATGACTACACATTCGCACAATGACTTTTAAAAGATAAGTAACACCATATATAATTATTACATACACAAGTGAACACTCTACTTTCGATAAATAATACTTTAGGTGGTCAGATGGTCAGTGATTAGAAGATGGTCAGTTCTCCGTGAAGCCGTATCAATCATATCTGATGAAGTGCCAAGGCACCATTGTCTTCGAGAACAACGGAGCTAAAAAAGCCGAATAATGGTTGCTCAATACTTTTTGCGCTGCATTTCAGCTATGTGGACACGCCCTGTATTCCCACGCCATCTGAAAGACAAGAACACTACTAGGAAGTGACTATAACTGAAAAAAACTAGTCGTTCCATTAGGCATAAAGAAGAAATCTCACGGACCCGCTGGCGCACGACCAGGAAGGAATCATCTGCTCCTGGAAGCTCACTGACCGTTTACAGATAACGATCAGAATAAAACGACCTACTCTTGCGTACAACTAAATAGTGACCACGAAGAGTACTCACCTATGTCATTTCACAATGGAAATAAAGTACGTGTGCTACTTCATGTTCAGCAACTCTCAATGACTGAAGTTTTTTGACAACCTTTTACAAGAATACCAGTTTCACATCTTCGATAATGAACGGATACGAACGGTATTTGAAAGAAAGAACGCTGTTTGACCAACAATGAAAAATGATGAATAAGGCAAAGGCGAAAATCGCAAGAAATAGTCTATTGTTAACAAAAATTCTTATATCGATCATCACCTGATCTGACCGAACAGTTCGTAAGACCATTTACCTAATAACATGAAGAACATTCCAGCAAAACCAGTAACATCCACTTGGCATTGAAATAAAGTGATTGACCTGCTTCAGTTAAGAAGCTGGCTCAAGACATATCGAAGAATCTCGCTAACTCGTTTTACTTAGACACTGTACTCCAGAATGAACTTCTGACTTTCCAGATACCATAAAACAGTCACGACTCATACTCAAATCACTGCTGGTTTCGATATTTGATAGCTGATAGTATTTGTTCCTACTTCACGACCCTTTCAATGATACTTTCCCCGTTGTTGTGAGTCGTACACGCTAGTATAATACGACAGACAGCCATACTCTTTGCCTGCTGCAGAGAAACGTGATCTTGGATGAGAGAGGAGAAACGGAGATCAACACCGCTCCATAGGTTCCATAGAAAGCAAAGGTGTTATAAACGCGGCCATCACGGAATTGTAAGGAGCATGCCAATGGTTTACACCCATCGTGTTTTCTCTTCGATATGCTTATGCTGTTCCAAGCCTCGACGAAAAACATGCATACTATATAACTGTCTTTAAACAAAAAGATCTTCCTTTAAACGTCGATCCATTTCACCTCCACCTCACTCTTAACAGCACAGACTGTGCTTTTAGTCAAGGAATCAGAAGACCTATTAACATCCAGTTCGAGTTCATGTTCGAGGGCTAAAATGAACTGAGCCTTCAAGCTGTGTATTTGTCTGTTAGCTGACTGCTGTCTTTGAATCTGCATGCAAATTCCACTGGAAGAAACCGTGGAATTCCATGCGTTTGTTTTCAAATGACAAACTATATCAACGAATTATTACGGGAGAACTACAATTATGCTTACGTTGTCTGCAAGCCAAAGACCCATGATCAGTTGACCGGCGACTAACACTGATTCAATAAGCAACTGGACAGCAGTCTATATCACTCGATGTAAGAAAATATTGAATAATGATAATCATAGTAAGCAGCGTTGCCTAACAATCTAATTCCTGTTATCCTGAGTCATTCGCAGAACCTTTCTATATTCAACTACGCTCTATAATGTACCTTTCGACAGCGACATTAACCCACCGACTAGTCATGCACTAAAGAGCTTTTTTCAACAATTACTCCAAGGTTTTATTTCCGTACTCTGTCAGGGATTCATTAAAACTGATGATGATAGAGTAGTGAAGCTTCCAAACTACGTTGAGCGAACCTGATGCATTTTATTTTTAATTTAATTTAATATACGCATACATACACAGATACATGCATATATGAGTTGAAGGAGCAGAAAAATGGATTTAATTTTTAATGCGAGTATGAAAGTCACCTTCAAAAATGCCGCCGCAACTGAAGATCCGCCCATCGTCGCCATGGCAGGCTTCGAAATATTGTCGAAATCAGCGGCACTCGTTTTCAGCGCAGAAGAAAAGTACTGAAACAATGGCAAGCGCCACACGCGATCGCCTGTCTCAATGCTCGCCTTAAAGAAAAATGTCTCTTTTTAAGTTATAAAATTCGAATCAAATATATATCAGCATATTATTTAAAAATGTTTACTTAACCATAATTACATATTTAATCACTCTGTAATTCGTGTACCTCTGGCTATACCTAATGACATCAGGTCAGGCGGATCAGTAACGCTTCCACTGTTGCACTCGCGCGACAATTATCACTCTGTCCCGTGATATGTCATGCTAATGGGTTACAGCATGTTCCACGATTATGGAATTTTTTTTTGCATTCCACTTTGACAAGCTTTGGGTTTTTTATGTCTCCGCCTTCTGCCGACTTGCTGAAAACCCTTTTCATGACGTTAGTGTTCTTCCACCTGATCAGGTTCCTCATGGGGTGTCCACTTCTCTTCAAACATGTTACTCTTTTCGCCCATATCAACTGAACCACATGAGCAACAGAGTTGGCTAATCCAACTTGCCTTCCGATCCTCAGGTGGCTTAGACGGATACGTACAGTTAAAACAGATTGAGTCAGGCCCGCAGATCCAATACATTGTAATTTTCATTCAGTTGGCGAACGTATGATTAGGTGATGTGGGTCTTGTAATCAGGTGATCAGGCAGAGGCTATTTGTTTTGATCAATCTGACAGGCATTCGTTAAATCTTCGTAGAACAGCCGTTTTTTCTTCAGCGTCTATCTGATGTAATTTAGTTCTTGGCGAAAACCATCATCTGTCGCGCATGTCGTCCGTCCTCTTTAGAGAAGTGTATTGAGAACACCTATCTTTACGCAATCTGGATGTAGATACCTACTGGTATACATCATCTTACGAAACGCCCTGGTCAAATATCCCAGCTGGTGCTGCCTTACTAACAAATCTAAGAAAGATAGGGTGGCGTTTCCTTCTTTCGCCATAGTGCAAACGATTAGGCTTGGGAATAGACTGTTTAGGCATTTACGTATTTCAGAAAAGACGTTTCAGTCCAATTTTTGCAGGGGGCAAATACATCATCACTAAACCTTTTGAAGAAGGTTGGATAGGCACCTCTGTTGCCTGTAGTGAAGGCCAAGTGTTCTAAATATTCCAGAAACATATCAGCCAGAGCAGGAATAGGATTCATCCTGATGATATAACAGGCTTTTGAACTGAAAGTAGTGGAAATCAGTGAGACATATCCAGAGCAGCTTAAGAATGGAAGATATGCAGAAATGTTTTCGTTGTAAGGCTTAGGTCTTCTGTCAGTTGTTCTTTGATTAAGTCAATTACAAATTAAACTCGGATGCTGAAGAAGACGTCCTTTACGCCGTAGCTCACATAATTTCATCGCTGTCATTCATTCGTGGGACAATCTCTTCGACGAACTCTACTGAATCTTTCAAATATGATTTCAACCTACCCGTGTACGACTGAATGCTGGGGTGAAGCAATGGCGCAACCACAGCTGAAAAGTAAGACGATGATGCAACATTAGGTCCAAGGGAATATTTGGCTTATGTATCTTTGGTACAGGAACAGTTCAGAAATAGCCCAATTCCATTTTTAGCGAATCTTCAATAATAGGCATATTGCTCGCTTGGCACTTAATTTATTCCTCTTTTCTATAGTTGTAATCACCTCTTTAAGGGACGTTATCCATAGATTTCTTGGATTTTCCATCAAGTTACTATTAAAGCGGCTAATGGTTCGATAGCATTTCAGCAGTTTGCAAGCAAACCCCGAAAATACCGGGGTCAATAAATATTTTCTATTAAACAGTGGTCTTTCACATAAAAAATTAAGTCCAGACTCATGATGCTTCTTACCGGATTGCTTTATTTACAGAAGCTATTATGACTGAAGCAAAATGGAACACAGCTATGTGGTGGAGCGTCACTATGTGCGTGAAAAAACAAGAAATACGCTGGCAACACTATCACAGAATTTGTGGTGAAAAGAGCATCAATCTCAGAGAGATTGGCGAAGCCTAATTCATTCAAGCGAAAGGAACTTTGAACTGGACAATGGCGCAGACTTAAAACATATCTAGATATCACAGATGAATAGAATGTTGTCAGCTTTCATCTACGTTTGGCCATATATGACTTCAAATTTCATCTAACAGATCCGACCCTTGCTAGGTTTGGTTTTACCACTGCACCTTGGTAACAACGCACGCATAATTCGAGACGTCGCTGATATGTCAAATAAAAACTGCCGCAAGAACATATCTTAAAAATAATATCAAATAATCATGGTCAAAGAAATTTAACTGATCGACACTGACATAAACAGGACTCACTTTGAGTAGGCTGGTCCACAGCTGATCGTCATTGGTGAACACGCCGGCTGCAGCGCTGCCAAGAGAAATCCTGATCGCTCCTAAAACATATTCATCACTGAAAATACACAACTGAAAACTCTACGCCGCACCGGTCAGGGTTGCCAGATCAATCACGTGACTAGGTGAAAAGTCGTCCGCGTACGACAGGGCATCTGCCAAAATCAGACGACCTTCAGCGTCAGTGTTATCGATCTAAGACGTGGAACAGAGACGAGAAGTACAGAGAGCCGAGAAAAATACTCAGACTCGTTCACCTTGATTGATTTGCCACTTCTGGAATAAACGATATCCCCTGGCTTGGTTGCCTTGCCGCTAGGCATATTTTCGACCATCGGCATCAGTGCGATCACCTCTCGGTTGAGCGGGGTCTGCAGTTTCGCCAACCCATAAATGGTAGACAACACCAAGGCAGCTCCGGCCATGTCGGCGCGCATTTCGTCCATCGAACGAGAAGGCTTCAAAGAAATACCACCACTAAAATGCAACATCATTTAGCATCGGACGATCGCGAAAACGCCATGGCTGATGGCTGTTAAAACAGCAACAGTCAGACGTAGCATCAGCATGAAGCTTAGCATATACAGACTTACCTGTCGAAGCAAACGCCCTTTCCAACAAGCACTACCGGGCCATCGATGGTCTTCCCTGAAGGTTTCAGATGAACTTCGACAAACATCGGTGGTTGATCAGATCCTTCGGCGACGGACAGAAAAGCACCCATTTTCTGCTGCGTGGCCCATGCTTTATCACTAGACAAGTGCAATTATATTAGTACTAAGAACATAGTTCTGAGCGAAAGTGACAGCCTGACAATATCATGCAATGCCATTACTGTGTAGGCGGCTAAAATCTGGACTTTGGCAGTTGGCCATATATAAAGACAAAAAGCTTGAGAGGTGTCCTACTGTCACGGATACTTTCTCACGTAGGGCCTATTCCTTTATCCAACTCGTCTACTTCAACGGCTTCAATTGAAAACAACTATAGGTTACAAAAATATGATCAAAATAACGACTATCTTATGTTATAGCAAATGTCTAACCGTTAATCGAAACAAACCTGACTGACAGGTCGAGAGATCAAGCGGTTTCATCAGTGGACACGCCAGCTCTATTCGTTGTCTCGATCATTCTGCCACAATCTAAGAACAAGAAAAAATACCGTCCCGTATGATGTTACGAATTCGTGATTCAATCAGTGCAAGAAACATTGAAGTTCGCCAGCATTTGGTCTTCTAGTATTGACAAACAATCAAAAATATGGTAAATCAAACTTCACGTCCACCGTAA